GTATTAGTATACTGTATTTGTATTATTGTGTTACTAGCAGAGTACCCGTCCTTCGTACGGGGTTGACATATAAGTATAAATGCTTATTGCAGTTATGGAAGAGGACACGATTAAAAAAAAATTGAAACTGGTCTCTTAATTTATACGGTATCCTATTGTGTAGCACACATCTACCATAGTCCTGATGTTCTTGCACCTAGACCATTTTTTGCTAGTTGGCTCAAATTAGCTGTGGTCATTAATGCAAACAAACAACATAATAGTGCTGCACCCTGTTTGGCAAGCCTTATAACTTTTTAATGCTGTTTAATATCATAGAACCAACTTGTACAGTTGAAACGGGTGACAAAATTCTTTAATTTTTTTAAATATGAATTCTCATAAGGTTAACTAGAGAAAGTCCAGAGCCAGAGCCACCGGGGTGGAGACTGAAAGAATTTTTGAGGTAAGAATATGTTAATCGGGGATGTCATCTATCATCATACCAAATTTCAACCTTGTCGGTTTAGTATTTTTCGCGTTTGCTTGTCACAAACATCCATCCATCCATCCATACATCCATGGTTTGCACTGTAAACAAAAAGCTATCACAATAGTTCCATACCGACAAATAGGAAAATATAAATAAATATGGAAAAAGGGTAATTTTCTAACATATTTTAGTGAAATTATATAATCAGGCAAATGGAAATTCAGTCTACAGATTTGCTGTGGCAGGGGGATTATATTACGGTTTACACAAAAATAAATCAAAACATAAACCTCATAACACTCAGGAAAAGGGCCTAGGTTGATAGGGCAATGATTATAGAATCTTAATTATTTCCTTTATATCCATGATGAATGATTTCTTTTAAAACGAATTATTCCCACTGTTTCACAGGAAACATTTTTAATCATTGTAGTAACATCATTATAGCTTAAAAAGTTGATAGTTTACATAATATTTAGCACATTTGACGGATAAAACTTTTTTGAATTCGTCATATTATAAGTGTATGAAAATTCATATATCTGTGTATCAATATCTACTTATCTCATTTCTGTTCAATGAAAGTTATACAATTTCAATGATACCGGTACTTAAATGGGAAGTCTTACAGCTGTTATAAAACTGTGCATACATTTTATCTTACGAGTAAATTTGCTACCAATTGATATAGCATGACAATTCTATTCTACTGCAGTACTTAGAATTCTACCACTACTCACATTAAACCAACCATATTTACTTTTGGGCTAGTGATTAATTTATTGTATTAATCATACAATATAGTGAATAGTGTAGGTAGTCATTTATTTATTTCGTTTCTATGACATAGCTCTATTTTGTAGAAATCAATTATGCAATCATAACAACAGAAATACTGCATCATTACATTTTACGGTAACATAGTATTTATTTTACATATAAAAAATTTAAGCTAATGCAATAATTAGTTCAATTAGAACCATTGAATATTGAATAATTTAAACATTAATCGAAGACGAAGCGGTTGACAACTTTCAAACAGTTGACTAGGACTAGTTGCCTTCAATAATTGTAATGCGAACTGTATGCACTGAGGTCGGCAAACAGTGTTCACAGTGTGCAGGCACTTTGGACGTCGTGGCACTTGGACGTCGTGCAACAGTCAAATATTGATTGGACGTCGTGGCACTTGGACGTCGTGCAACTGGCAGAGGCTTTGGACGTGGTGCAAATGATACGTCTTTACAATTATATAGTGCGCTGTTTCACGACGTCCAAGTGCCACGACGTCCAAAGCTTGTAGAAAGACTATATTTTTGGCAGTTACTGTACTTTTGGACGTCGTGACACTTGGACGTCGTGCAACAACTCAAACATTATGTTTTGGACGTCGTGGCACTGGAAAAATATTATTGGACGTCGTGGCACTTGGACGTCGTGCAACACTCCCTAACTAAACAACATTTATTTTTTATGCTTGATAGATCTCTAGGCTGGACAAACATTGTCTGTTTTATTTCCAAACTTGTTTTATTAATCGTCATACATAATTGGCATGGTTCCCATTAATGTCAGTCAAAACACTAATTTGAAAGTCTGAATTTTTCCATGGTTCAAAAGTGATACTGTTTATTTGATAAAAAACTATATGGTTACAAACCTCAATTATATTTTAAGAATGAAAAGCGTAACAGTGTGTTTTTTATATGTATGTTTTTATGTTGTTTATGTTTTATATGTTTTTATATGTAAAACCATTGACTATTGGATACTAAAAGGTAAAACACATGTTTTAATTTTGAGCGATGTCTGCAAATTGAATTTTCCTGAAGTGTGACATGAGCTGATTTGTGAAATTGTCCCACCCTGCAACGCGGGTAAATGGACTGGAAAATTGAAGGCGCAATTTCCACGTGTTGGCTTTATATTTAATAAACCCTATCTTTATTTTTTGAACCCTCCATAGTCAAGTTTAGTTTTGGAATTTGTTTATGAAATGTTTTATCTTAATCTAACTAAAGTAGACTTCTATCCTCGGAAATGACTGTTTCATTCGAAGTTTAATTTACCCTGTTGAACAAATTAATGTTCAAGTTTATATATTACAATTCAATATATTACAATTGTTGTATTACAATCGGAATATATACAATTCCAAGTGTATATATACAGGGTGTCAATTACGTCTTAGGACAACTTTATAACTTTAAAACGAAAAGATATATCACAACCAAATTTGGCATTTCATTTCTGATTACTGGTTACGTTTTTTGTGTACATGGTGATCGGATGTCAACCATTAGGGACGGCCCATAGGAAATAAAAAAATCTCTGTAAGTTTAAAATCTTAAAGGTAAGGTATTGGTATGGACATCAAAAAACAATATAACAAAAAAATTCTGCAAACCGAACCTCAAACGGACAACCTAGTCAAAAATTACAGCTGTAATTTCAAAAATGTACAGCTTTATTTAAATTTAAACAATTCCTAATGTGCTGATTTTAAAAAATTGTTTTAAATTTTTTGTTATCCTCCCTTAGATTTTTGTCCAATGAAAACTCTGGTTCAAAGTATCTCACATCAGTCCCTTGGTGTTGTAATACACAACTTGGTTTATTGCATAATGCTAAAAACCCATTGTCAAGTGAATGTCCATTTATAACTAATTTGATTTTCAAAACCTTGTAGAAGTAAAGGGGAAGGATATTCAAAGAGGTGAGAAAGTGTTAATTTAACAACAAAGTTTGCTAAGTTTAAACTAGATGCAATATCCACAGAAACAAACTTGGCTTTCGTGTACCTGGTTTATTAAACGTTCTACTATAAGTGCTTGGTTTAGTTTCTTGAAACTAATTTTTTTCACGATTATTAATCAATATTTTTTTCAGTCTAATTATTTTAAAAATTTATTTTAAGAATTATTAGGGAGTTTCCTTGACACCTGTCTTTAACCTGCCTATTCCAGTGAAAAAAAACTATTTATGTAGCCTACTGTTCTTATACAAGCCGTGTGAGTTGTGTTTTTGAGGTCTGTCAATGTAGTCATGTAGTGTAAAAACCCAGTTTCTTGGAAATGTTTTATTTTATTTTAGTCCTCTATTCTTTTATTGATAAAAATAAATCAAACCAAACACAAATCGGTGGGAGATAAGTAATGAATATCAGAATAATTTCAATCATATCTCATCCAAACCACTTGAAATAAAGCCAGTGTTTGTGAGACATCGCAACTAACTGTTTCTTGAACTGAAAGACAAAGTTGTTTGAAGGAGTTGAAGCCCATTGTATCGGGAAAACTTTCTGTAACTGTAACAACTCAGTGACATTCTTTGCAACAAACCTTTACACTCGAACAAATGTTCTATCCCAGTTTAAAATATTGGTGGGCGTAAATATCTTATCTGTACTTTTAATATGTCAAAGTATGTTTTTTTTTATAAAACAAAATATTATTTGCTTAAAATAACTCTGGTTTTTAGTGTGGACAATTTAAATTGTAAATTTTTTTTAATGGAAGAAATTACATTTATATGAATTCAATAACTACCAACATTCCGTAAAATCTGATTCTCCCAGGAGAAAGATATTAAAAAAAATATCTTATACACTAAAAAACTTTTGCAAAACTTATGACATTTAGCGACCATACTACTGGACCGAATTACACACGTTTGGTACTAAATGAAAGATATTTTCCTGTAGATATGCAGAATCCCTTTATAAATTAATATAGGTTCATAAATAAGCACAACAAATTAATTTGAAATTTAAAAAAAATTAACATGGTATTATGGGTTGCCATACTGGTGACAAAATAATAACAAAATATAAACAGAAAATCAAAACAAATGTGGGAAAAATTCCAATCACATGTTTTATTTATAGCGTGGGGAGATAATAGAGAAGTTTGGTTGAGTTTTCGACAACAGGGCAAGCTCTCCTTGTTATCTAAAATTCAATATCAATACTAAGTTGACTTTTGAAATACCCCAAATGAAAACTCTTTCATTTACTATGCCTATACCTAATTAAATTTAAGAAAATAACTATTAATGTTTACATTTTTCTAAAATCTCCGTCCAACAATGCTATTTTAGATGAAAGGCTATTAACGATTTTCACATAAAGTGCTTCCTCAATAAATTTGGATCGAAATAAGTTCTAAATTAATTGTACCATACATTCTACTGAAACTTGTTTTATCGAAAAGATCACGTGGTTCGCGCCGGTAGGTGTGGCCTACCCTTCAAACCTGCGCGGCTCGAAATGGCCCAGAGTTCTTTTGTTTCTGGTATGTCTATAACTCAAAATTTTTGAACTCTATTCAGTATACTCTGAGAGTAATAATATGGTACACTTCACCCTTGTACTGTACCAGGTCACCTCTTGCCAAAAAAAATGTGTTTTTATTACTACTTCATTATGTTTATTTCAACCTATGGTTCTTCTAGTTTAACAGTTTATTCTGAAACCTAATCTTTTGTTTCTCACATGAATATGTCTAATTATACTTGTTTTTTGTTTCAGAGAAGAGGTCCAAGACCACAAAGTCAAGTGGGGAGCCAACTTCTCCTTCCAGTGTAAGATGTCTGCCAACGCCTCCACCGGGGTCTTAGACCAATGTATACTGAGGGTATCTGTGAGGAAGGTGGGTCCTGTGCTTGAAAAATGTGGTAGAAGTAGAGTATGAGAGTAAACGATAGAGAAGGGTAAACTTTATTTAGTGCTCTTGATTTAATGTAGTACACAAGGGTATGAGTTAATGATTACGGTTTTTGATAGAATGCTTGTCTGATTCGGACATGAAACTCAATCTTTAGGTACAGTAGATGATTTTGTGACTAGGCCTAACGTTTTTTAGACCATACGCGATTATTTTAGCCTCACTGACAGCTTTTTTGGCCGAATAAAGTCGGGGATCCAGGAACAAGATCAAAATGCCGTCAGTGACAGTGAAATATTATAATTTTTTGTTATACAAAGTTTTTCCCATAGCCTAGCAAGGAAAAACTTAAAACTCACCACACGTCTTTATAAGTTAAGGATTGTCTGAAATATGTGTGTAATCGTCACTTACGTATTTTATCCTTGCCATATTGAATGTATGCAAAATACAGAAATAACATTTTCGAACTATGGATAATTATCTAAGCTAAATTATTTACGACTAAGCTGTAAAAGTATTTTCATGTTGAACCTCTTTGAAAGTAATTTAGCTTTCCTTGCAGGCTGTTAATTAATTTATGATTTTGATAAAACGGTCAACACTAGGTGGAAAGAAAAAGTAATGTTAGGTTGACATGTTTTACAAAAAATACTTGAAAATATCTCAGCACTTACGAATCACCCAATACTAATTGATTTGAGTGAAACATTTACTTTATCTCAAGAATTAGGATCATAAAAATTCACAAACTCTCCAACACACTTTGCAGTTGTGAAACCATTATTCCTGGTGTTATATTTTACTTATTTTTTCCCCCAAAGCTGTGATGGCCCATTAAAACCTCATCTCAGTTCAGTTCTAATGACACTGTATGACCCATTCCCAGATGAGAGCACAGCTATTGCTGTAGTTGTACCTCACAGCTGATCTAATGATGAGCTCACAGTCCAGCCCGGAGTCATTATTGCTCTTTTTGTAGCTCCACTCCCCAGCCTCAACCACTCCCTGACTTCTTCAACATCTGTTTGGTCCTTGGTCTGTCATTCATTCGTTTCTTCATACCCTATTTAGCAGTTAGGATCTGCTTTTGTAATTTCGTGCATATGCTTTTTTTATAGTAAGAGTGGGTTAGTTATGAAATTACTATCTGTTTGGTGGCAGTTTAATTTTATAAAGTTTGTAAATTAATTCTCAAATATTGTCATTATTAATGTGTTTTAGAGTAAAATTAGACTCATTGGTAGATGAATGTGAAATATTTTTGAGACATGGACTATAAATCTTAAATACAAATTGAACAAATCTTTTTTTCACAGTTTAGTTTCAAGTTGCTGACTACATATAGTAGGTTTCCATCTCTATTTCAGTTTTTGTTTTAAAAAAAGTATTTTAAGTATGTAAAGATCCATTTACAATGCAGTGATTGGTTACTTAGGTGGATTTAATTTATTGTCATAGTTTTCAATAGTCAGAGTGTGGTATCATAATCAAATTATTTAAAAATATTATATTCACTCTAATTTCTTTTTGCAAATAAGCTTTACTTGCATTCATTTTGAGTTCAAATTGACAATATTTCTGGTGAATAGCTATCAGGATGAATTCCACATTATCTAACCAAAGTCACACAAGAACCCTGTCAGTCAACTTTATTGATGGCCTTTGTCACCCTCACTTGGTGATCAATTATAGACACATCATCAATCTGAGCTTCCAGTCAATTGGTTTTCTTTATTCACCAGTTAAATATATTTTAATTGATATCTTATCTTAAATTAATTTACATAAGGCTTGGCTTTTTGGCCAGTCACCAAAGGTAATTCAATTTGAAAATAACCTTCCTTGGTAAAATATAAATTGGAAAATAGAGTTCATATTTTTACCATGGGGAAATTAAATATAAAGAACCAAATCAAATCAAATCAAATCAAATCAAATCATCTTTATTCAAACTGTACATACATACATGAATAGAGTCACAGAAATAAGAACTAACAAGTACATTATGTTTCTTATTTTAACATTATTTTATTTACATACATTGCTAAATCTATGCAATACAATCCTTTATTAATGCTGTGTATTTATGAATGTAGTTAAAACATTTTTTACTCTTTTGGTTAGTTAGTCCTACATAACAAAAGGCTAAAGACAAATTTATTAAATTCGCTCACCAGTCACTAGATCATGCAATTTGTATTTTTTTCTTCTTTATCATTGAAATCGTTTTTGTAAATATATACCTACAACCAGCTCTAGTTTGCTGGTAGCAAATAAGCTTGATTATAGGATGGATTAATAGAGCTATAAAAAGAAGTCTTCTATAGAATAACAAGTTTTATCTTGGAGATATTTTCTTGCTAATTTCCTAAATCGCTTTGTGTGTATATTAGTTTTCAGATTTGATGGTAATTTATTAAGAAATTTACATCCGATTTGTGTTGCTTTCTTTGAGAAAAAAGTGAGGTTATGCCGGGGTATATCTATTTGATCTCTGTTTCTTGTGTTATATACGTGTATATCTTTGCGAAACACATACTTATGAAGGTTATTTTTGGCAGAGATAATGCATTCTAAAATATACTGGTCATAGACAGTTAGTATATCTAATTGTGAAAAGTGGTTTCTTACAGATGTTTTAGGTTCCAGGTTTAACATTATTCGCAAAGCCTTTTTTTGAAGTTTAAGTATTTTATCTAGGTTTTGTGCACTAGTGCCCCCATAGATTGCTAGACCATATGACAGATGTGAGTGTATATGAGCAAAATAAATACATTTTATTCAACCAATTAAGGGAAATCATTAACCATCATATTGGGTCACATTTTGTCTGTGAACTGCCACACTGAGTCTAAACATATTGGACCTGAATTTTAATTGTTTGTTGTTAAAAATATCACTATTGTCTCGGAAAGTTTTGTGAATGATTATGCTCCACTATCAGTTTATGTTATTTTACACCTTCCTCTGCATTGTATACACCAAATATACTTTGTTGATGCATACAACTCTAGGTTAGCTACATGTTCAAAAAAATGGAATGCCCTTGAAGATGAAAATATTCTTTATTTAAGTGAATCTATCATACTTTAAATTCTCAATAATTATATTTAAGAAGCAGATTTACTAAACTTAATTATACATTTTTATTATCTGTAAGCTTTCTCTTATTTACTTCTAGACTATATATTTTTAATTAGATTTATATTAGATTGAACAAGAAACGCTCATAAGTTATATTCCGTACAAAGAGGTTAAATTTAACTGAATGTAAAACAGAGGATCAATAAAAATAACAATGGACAAGGATTGTGTTCCTTTTAGAGAATAAATGTGTCTTTGTTGTTCAACAATAAGGACCACCTGAAGTCGGTTGATTCCTGCACAAAGGACTGTAAATAACATTTACTGCTTCTTCAGAAAATCCAATATTTTATGTCTGGCTGTAACATTGAGGATAGATCTACCTGTAGGTTGAAAACTATTACGTACTTGTATCGAAAAGCTTTTTTTATGGGTTGAAATTTAATTAAACTGCAATTGCCTCTTACATTCAGTGTATTATTCTACTGATTTAGTAAAGTAATTTTTTTACAAAAATGCAGTGTTTAAGTTCATATTCTGAATAATCTTAAATGTTTTGTTCATTCGCAGCTCAAAAATATTTACCTTTACTCGTGCTTTGGTTATATTATTATTATTATACAGAAGTCTCATTAAATGCTTCTGTCTTTATAAGAAATAAAAGATCAATAATTATAGTAAACAAAGTTATTTTAAAGGCCACTGGGGCAGAGCCCTGATGGATTTTCTTGAAAACGCTTCTCATCCCAGAGTTCTTATGGCTTGTAGTTTTGAGATATAGTGAACAGTAAGTGAGTGAGTGAGTGGTATTTGCCTTTTACAAATATTGGATGAATGTAAAAAAAAGTATCAGGAAAATAATTTATGATTATGATAAAAATAACAATATTAATAAATGTCAGTCTGATACTGGACTCAGCTCTTAATAATCAGGCGTTTAGTAAGTTATTTATGACCTTAAGTAAATTTTATTTTAATAAAAACTAAGAATAATGCTGTTGGCCAAAGAATTATTGGACTGTAACATTTTTTTTTTTGTAGCCTTTCAGGACTTTTGTGGTTCATAAAAGATATTTAGTGAAATTACAGTACATAATTTTTTTCAATTGAATGAGTGATTGAATAGAAGAATAAAGCAATAAAAGCTATACACAAATCATCTCCACCCTATAAGGCACTCTTTGTAATCCTGCATTAACATTTTGTGGAAGTTGAATGGTTCAAATGTAATTAAACTAAATATTTAAGTATAGTTACTTATTTATGTTTGCAATTTCATTGCCTATTAAACTCAAAATGTCTAATGAGACTGATATAAAGAATACTGGCCCTTCCTCTTTGACTCTGGTGAGTTGTAATACCATAGAGGCATCTACTCTGTTAAATAGTATTCAAAATAAGGTCCACTTAAAGAATTCTCTTTGTGATTAACTTTTACAACAATTTAGTACAATATTTGTTACTATTAGAGAAATGCACTCCGTCTTGTGATTCTTTAGTTTATTCCTGTGTTTGTGTTCGCAGGAGTTGAAGGGTGGAAGATCATTCCAGAAGCTGGGGTTCTGTGACCTGAACCTGGCAGAGTTTGCAGGGTCGGGTCAGACCACACGGAGGTGTTTACTGGAAGGCTACGACACCAGGCATCGTCAGGACAACTCCATGTTGATGGTTAGCATCACCATGAACATGCTTTCCGGAGACGTTCTGTTCAAAGTGTGAGTACTACCATGATGAATTGAGTATTGTACAGTACAGTGAACTAGGGGACTGCAGGCCAAGATTTTTTTTCCCTTCAGGCTGGCCCTTGAGTCACAGGCAAAAGTTGAACTGCTATAAAAATTTTTAATTATTTTTTATACTACAATCTGTTCTTACATGTATCGTACATGATCTCCCCCATTTCACAGTGAAATTGTCAACATCTTTTGCAGTCAGGACAGAATTAAAATCTTCTGCGGTCAAAGCAAAATTTTGAGCATCTTTTTAAGTCACAGGAAAATTTAGAACAAATTCTACTGTCACGGCTAAATCAAGAAGACCTTCCCCGGTATTTTCAAAATTGTGAACATCTCTCCTGTCATCTGAGTGAAACAATGCCCTATGCCACCACTACAAATCCTTTATTTTTCTACTAATATTCAGTTTTCTGTCTAGTAATGTGTCTTTTTTCCCGTGGTTGGGGTTTAATAATAGACATGATAGAAAATATTTGCAACAATTCCTTAAATATCACCTCTGCATCACCAAAAATTAACATCAATCAAATAAATAGCTTTCTATTTGTTCTAAAATGGTAATGGAACCTGTTAGGGATTTAATCTTAGGTGTAATAAGTGTGTGTATCTGTTGACAGTCCCTCTCCCTCACTGAAGCACAAGCAGATGATCGTGAGTGTTGCGCCAGATGAGACCAATGAGAGGCACAGGGAGGACTACTCCAGCGGGTCCATAGCCAGCGGGAGCTCGGGCTGTGGCAGCCTCAAGAAACGGCCAGTCCTCTTCAACTCTGGTGAGTCAACTGAAGCTATCATAGTTCACTTTTATAAAATGTTGCTATTTATGATCAGTTACCACTTAACGAAAAATCTTAGAATTATATATAAAAAATAAATATAATGAAATAAAACCTGACACAGGACATCCCTAAGCAATACTGAGCTATGTTAATTCTTTTAAGATTGGTTGGAAGATCACGTTTACAGAGTTACATCAAATTGATTGTTTTGGATAAATAAATAGAGAAATGAAAAGAAAATAACTTTATTTTGCTAAAATTTATCTGCTGCACCTGATTGTTTAGAACTTTTATATTTAAACAGACTACTATTCTCATCATTATTTGATTTACAGTTTTGTTTTTAAATATTCGACCTTTTGCTGGATATAACCGATTTTAGGCTATCACCTAGACTATTGTAAATTATACATTATAGCAGAAAAAACCCCGACATACATAGGCAAAAAAACTTTCTGTATTTATAAATGTTATGTGACAATAAAGATGTATTTATTTATTATTATTATAGTTACAGAATAAGTGTGTTTATTCATAATAATAATAAATGAACTTAGAATTTCATGTTAAGTCATATTTAAAAATTTGTTAATACAAGATGTCACGCAAAAATCCTATTTTTTATGATTTAATCATTTTGATTTTTCAGATATTGCTTCCCGGAGTACAAAATTGTAGTTTTAATAACCATATATGCTTATTGCTTATCAACATAGATTATTTATTGTTTTTTAATCTGTCAGCACAGTCATTTGTGGTCATCAGCACAGTGTATAACTGTGGGTGAAGGAAAGCTACTTGGTGGAGGGCCAGCTTTTAGGGGTTGTCAATATTATGATCGTTTGCTCTTAATTGGGACTATGATTCTTTATTTTAAAATTATGTTCCATCTTAGCTGTTGTAAAGAGTGAATAGATTCAAATTACAACTTATTCAAAACCTATTTTCAAAAATTGTTTGTATGTAAACTTTTTTAAGAAAAACTAGTTTGTTATTAATTGCTGGACTTAAACTAAACTATATGACTTAACAAGACTATTTGGTTAGTAATATGATTCCTAATTACCTCAGTAACTATTTATACTTACTTAGTTTGCTTTGCTGGTTTTACTTGCGGCATAAACCTTTCCAGTTCAGTGTTCATACTATTGTGTTGGTGAGGAGACACAGACCATTGAATGTTTCGACCGTAGCACTAGCAGTTTATGGTGGTCCAATGAATAAGAGATATCGATTGATAATCCTCAGCTCCGTCGCTTGTGTTGTCACTAACAATGCGGCTTTCTGTGTCTCACTGTGACTAAGTTGCATGGTCCTACGTCCTCTGCACCTGTCCATCCCTCTGATATCTCCTATCAAAAAAACTATAATAGCAATTAAAATAAAGTTGTGTCGAAAAATATAATAATATAAAAAAATAATATAATATAATAATATAATAATAATATAAAAATATAAAATTGCATATGGTGGGTAATATGTGAAAAAATTCAAAATATAAAAAAGTTTAGTTTAAAAATTGAATACAAATTTGACAGTATTAAATGGAGAAAATGTTTTAAAAACTCAAAAGAAAATAGCAAAAATAAAACTGTTACTATAATTCATTTTTGATTAAAATCTAGCTCTGTTGAAGAAGTTGTTAGTTAGCAAAATACACAAAGCTCACTCCCATTCTTCGCCCACTTTTCATTCATATTCAGCTTAAAACACCTAAGTGTGCATCACTGTCTTTAAGGAATTGAATTTAAAATTTAATTTTCTTCATCAAAAATATTGAATAGTAATTTTCTAAAAAATATACATACCCCACCTGGTGAAAAATATCAAAACTACTGCCTAAACATTTGTTGATAACTAAGCAATTCAGTAACAAAACAAAAATTAATACACACCCTAAAATACTAACAAATGAGTAGGGTAATACTATCCGAGACTTAAAATTTAAATAATATTTTTGGTTTAGAAGATGAGAATGTCAGAGTTGGAAGGATGTGGGGAATGAGAGGTGTGTTTAATGTGTCACACGTTCATCAGTCGCACAGCCTGGGTTGTGTTGCGTTGCTTCGGACTAGACTCTTCCCTGTCACTGCACAACACAAATACTACACAATACATAACATTGTGAAACACCAAAACATTGATTGATAAAGTTGTATTTTAATCAAAAATTTACTTTTTTGCACATTTTATTAGGAAAAAGTTTTTTTGCGTACTTAAATCCCAACTAAATAAACTTCAATCTGAATAAAAAATATTTGCTGCTATTTTTATTATTTTCTGTATTTACAAAAAAAAACTTTGTGTGGGATCTAATTACTGAATCAATAAACATCCACCCACAGAATATACAACTCATTGTAGGCAAAGACAACGTTTTGTAGTCCCAAGCCTCCTAATCATATTACGATTTGTGCTGACCGTTGTGTTTGTATAGTGATACAGTAACAGAACAGTATACAGATTCATGCACACACCATGGATGTTTGAAAAACCTAACCCTAAAGAAATTTAGTGGGAGGGATCACAGGAGAATGCCTGTTATGGGAATTTAAATCTTGTGATTCAAAAATCCACAAAAATAGACGTCTGTTCTTAAGTCAAATCTGACTCAAAAAGAGACTTGAAATATCCAATCAGAAATAACTCATTAATTTCTCTTCACACATTACTATTTCCCATCAAAATATTTGCCAATGATTAGGAGATTTTCATAACCCTTTTTTCTCTCCTATTGTATGTACTCACTTTTATGCGTAAACACTCTTTCACATTTATACGATACTTCCACAAACTCAACACATGTGTACCACGGGTGACAGGGAGGGGTTAGAGTAAAGCCGAGTCTCATTCACGGATGTTGTCAGCGAGAGGAGTGGCCGTGGCCGATGTGAGCACTGAACTGGACAGGGTTGGGGGTTGGTGCGGCCTCAAAATGGCGGCGGCTACTTTGTTAGTTTACGTCTTTGGTTGGATCTCCGGACGGCAACATGTTGTGTTAAAGACCGCGAAGAGCATTCAAGGTAGGACTAGCTCCTGGAAGGGTTAGTACAGTAAAATCCAAATTAACCAACATAAGGGGACATGGCTATTTTGGGTAATCTCTTTTTGGTTGATTTAAAATTATATCTTGGTTCAAAAACATTGTTTGTTTTATGTTATTTTAATTACCACCATCTTTAAATTTACAACTGTATAGGCCTACCCAAAATCTATATTTCTTTTCTACCCATATTGGCCAAGCCAGGCTAACAACCTGTGCCACAGCTGGCGATTTTCATTACCCATTAAAGGTTCTAATTGATTTGACCTTTTGATTATGGTTTCGGTTAATCCAGGTTTAGGCTTATCAGGGTTCGGTTGAAAGTGGTTTTACTGTATTAAGAATTAGGTTCATAATATTTAACAATTTACTTAGGGGAATTCTATAGTGTGTTTTTCTGGCATAATTCAAAGAGTAAGATTGCAGGTTTCATGAATACTAGACAGAAAATGAAAACTACAATATTACTTTTTGGTAAAACCCTAATGAAATACCTATGTAGTAAAGAACTAGAAGTAGGATGTATTGTTTTAACATTCTTGCAAACTTTTGGATAAATTCTATTTGGAGTATTGGACATAATTAATTTTGTACTCTCAGGTATCGTTTGATCTCTAGAAAATAAAATTAATAAGGAGTAGGCCTACTAAATTTATTTCTTCAATATTGAAAGATTGCTAAAAATCTATTTTTTTATTTTATTTTCACAATACTTAAGATCTTCAACCCACAAAGACCAAGGTACTGTAATGTCAACAACATCAACTGAGCTGTGTGGTTGCAGAACTGGTGCCAGACGGCCCCCATTTGGAGCCTGGAGACCTGGGCATTGTCCCCACTGCGGGGCCGGGGCCTGGCGTGGCGGAGACTGAGGAGAACCACGAGGCAGCTCCGGGACACTCACGTAACTCTTCCAACACCAGTCAGCTGAGCAAGGGCAGTGGCTACGGTAGTCTCAACAGTCAACATAGCAGACAGTCCAGCTCCGGCGACTCTACACACATCAGGTAAATATTGTGTCAATCAGGAGAGACATAAAACTCTTCCCCCACTCTGAACATTTGTATCCAGTTATACCTGGAAATGTTTTAAATGTCAGTACAAAATAACAAAAGATAATGGTGGAGGAAGAATTTTTGTGCGCATGCACATCCTACTACCACTCTAGGTGACACTATTCATGATCTATAACACAATGGTTCTATTGTATCTCTGATTCAGTTCTACTTTGTTACTATTATTTCCTAAACTTTCATTGTCCTGGGACAGTCCAAGAAATCCTTTTGGCAGAAAAATCTCCCTTAGAGAGAACAAAAGTGGACAACAGCGCTTTAATGTTGCATGCATCGAACTCCAAGAAATCAGCACATCTGAGGAATATTAATTATAAATCTTCAGCAAAGTATGGCTATTCTATGAATTGATTACTACTTAAATTTTTGGTCTTTGACCACAACTTTAGATGGATTATATTTGATTCCTTTTAAGTATGTCAGGTCAGTTAGCTTAAGATTGGAGGGTGCTGCAAAGCAGTGGTGTAGTCGTAAATATTCCTGTCCAGGATCGCTTGCCAATGTCGTGGAAAAATATTAATTATATCAATTAATCAATTATTTAAGATGGGGACGCCACCATGTGTGTATTTTAACCCAAATATGAGTGAAGGATGAGTGGCGCGATCTTGTAGTCTTGTTAGTGACTAAGGCCGACATATTCCTTCTAGACACAGCTGTTAATTAATAGCCCATACAGCTAATGACAACTAAGGGACCTACAGTTTATAGTGGAATCCAAACGACATTTTTGCCTTGGTATTATTGAATTGGTCTAATTATCAGGACAGTACTGCAGATAGTCGTAGTACTCACTAGTGTGGGATCCACACCAGGGAGTATTGCATCCACAGTGCATGCATATAAATATCCACAATTCGTGACCTCCTAGTAGCTGGATTACAGGACGACGCCACCGTCCCAGTCAGGTTGCTTACCAATATATGGGTTCCTTGGAAAAAAGGAACACCATTCCCACCCCACTACACCACTGCTGCAAAGCAGTATTCAATGCAATCCAGACAGATTGATTGATTGATGGGAGCTAACAAAAACTTTGTTCTGGAAAGGTTTGGAGGTGGATAAGCATAGAGCTTTGCATGCAAATGCATCTTGTTGGGTGTTGACAACATTCAAAATTGTATTTTAGGTTTCCCTGAAACATCCCTTTGCAGTTAGGATGTTTAACGGTTTAACTAACTCGTAATTTTCTTAATTGTATGTAAAATTCAATGTTTTATTAAAATGTTTTAATTATTGTTTACATACATACACCTAGTGCCTCAGATTAAACACCTCTTAGAGAACCTTGAGCTCTGGTTTTTATTAGCTCCCATTGTTTACATGAAATCCTCTGTTTTATGTAGTAACATTACTAACCAAACAATTCTTATCTGTTTTGAATATTTCTGATAGGCCTAACAAGTTTTAATTTTTAAGAATGAAAATATTATTTTACTCATACAGTATTACGTATTGTGTTTAATTTTCAATTAGCAAAAAGTTAATTTTTTAAGTTTTTATTTCTTTATTTTGTTTTTCAAACATTTGTTGAGGTGTTTGTGTGTTCAGGTCCCCCTCATGGCCTGGGTGGAACCCCCGCCTCGCCCCTATCCCCTCCACACCCACCACTACCCCTCCCTCCCCTCGCCAAAGGCTTAGCCCCACCAAGACCAATGGGAGGCTGCGGGGCAACAACCCCCCCTCTCCCTTGCTACTATGTACCCCCCAGAGGCCTCCCCTGGGGTCCAACTTCAGGTTCCCCCCTTGGTCAGGTCCCTCACCCCGAGCCTCCTCCTCCCCCACCATCCCCTGCCCTCTGTCCCCCCTAGCGGCCTCGCTGCCCCATGAAGGTGCTAACCAGAGGTAACTGACATGATTGTTATGGGCATGGTGAAGGCTTGCCGAGGTTTGGTGGTGGATTGGGAGCTGCAGTTTACTTGCATTCTGTCTTGTTTCTTCTGAATTTGTCCTGTAAAACTTGAAACCAAAGCAACACTAAATAAACAGGCCATTGCTTCTCTGGCATGAAGTCATCATAGGCGACGGCAATTACGTAATGTTATTTTTTTAGTAATATTTTTGTTTTCCAAAAAAAGGTTAAAACAAGCAACTGATCACAAACAGCAAACATTACGTCATTGCCGTCGCCTCTGATGACGTCATGCCAGAGGAGCATTATGGCTTGTTAATTTAGTGTTACCTTGTTGTAACCCGTTGTTTGTTGTTATATTTACTAACCAAGACCTTCAACTCAATTATTTTGTAAATCGTAGACAAACTGCACATATTCAAATTTAACAAATGTAATTTCAAATGTAACATTAAGTTTACTTCCGTCTTTTTTCTGTTTGGCTGAAGACCAACATTGTAAACAACTTATTTTAAAACTCAAGTTAATTTTCAGTCTCTAAGTAAAAAAATAAAAAATACACTACCCGTAAGTTCCCATCTGAACCATCAGAAGGAACAGGGAATCTCATGTTTTCTCCTCATTTCATCAGCAAACATAACCCTTATCCTCATGTTTCCCCCTTTCATAGGTTTGACTAAATTGCTTTTGCACTTTGACAATAAACAAAGACACATCTTTGGAACCCGTTTAATAAATATAATTTATTCAAAACGAATATATTGTAAAATTACTATGGTATATTAACACTGGCCTTGTCTAGTTGGCTTGTAATAGGTCACATTCAAAAGACACTAAAATGTGAATTACGAGTCTTCAGACATTATACTACCCGTGATGTAAAAAATTTGTTTAATGGTTTAGGATGTAAATTTAAAATTTTTTAAATCTCATAATAATTTTTAGCTTGATAAGTCTGTAATATTTGTTCAAATATAATTTCAATATTTCACCTAATGAAATACCTATTATCCTCTCAGTGCTCATTTTCAAGTCCGTTAACTAATTCCCTATCTTCTCCCATACATAATGAATAAATGTTCAGTTCTTATCAATTACTCACATTCACATTTTCATAACCTTCAGGAGTCTTGTGAAAGCTGTGCCGAACGCTATATGTACTTAGCTGGTGGTGTTATGGTGGCTGGTGGGTTATACGGTATATTGTACTTCTGGTGTGTGTTACGGGTATACTATGGTGTTTGCTACGGTGGTTCTAGGGGAGGCCATCGTAAGGTGTTTGAGAGTAACTCCAAACTCCCGACGGTCGCCAGTCCCGAGGATGCGCCGGAGGAGAGTGACGCCGTCCCGCCAGTGGCGCCACTCATACGGCGCACCAGTCAAGTGTACGTGTCAATGTTACCAACATGAACTGTCACTAGATGATGTTGAATTGAAAGTTCAACTTTTGATGATACTTTTATATTAAATTCAGTTTCTACCAGTTTTGTAGGGATGTAATAAAATCTTATAAAGCTGCTAAGTCATCATAACTTTGAGCTAACCTTTTTGAATATATTTTCCAAGTTTTAAATTCACCAAAGTTCTGCTAATCCAAACCACCTGTTGAGAATAAAAGAACACTGTGTTTAAATTGAAAACCCATGTGTTCTGAAATTGTACCCAAACTCTCTATCAAACCAGGTAATTGAAAAAAAAGCAAGAATTTGTGTGTGAATCTTTTGATGATCAGGAAAAAGTCAGTGAATTATGTGAGAATATTGTATGCAAGCAGGAAATTTAGAACAATTGCTAATATCCTTTGATTTGTTTTTGGTTAACTGGTAAGTATTTGTTGCAATTCTACTGAATTTTTGCCTCTTCTGTTTGGTAATGCCTACAAGGTCCGATCCCAGTTAGTTTAGATTAGCAGATCTGTGATGTAATTTGTAAGGTTTTTTTCATTGGGCGCGCCATCATTACAACTTTGCAATTTTGAATTACACCATAATTATCTTGGAAGTCTCTAAACTCTACTTTTAGTGGGGCGTAGAAATAATTTCAATTTCAATCAAAATACCCGTCTGATTCTAATATTTTCACTATTTTAAACTTGTGATTTTGTTTAATAACTTTATGTTCTTGAGACAAAGTGTTCTTAGTTGGTGCCACCGTTTTTGTTTTTTGTTGATGAATGTGAGCTTATGTCAAGTTTTAAAGATGCTCATTCTTTTCTAAAATACAACTTTTTTGTTTGTATACAACCAAATGTAAAAAAACAAAAAGTATCGTTGAACTTGCAATTTTTTTATTACTATGTTCTGTGATGTATACAATTGCATAGAATACATTATGTTTAATCTGACGTTTTTTTAAGAACAGTAAGTTTCTATCTTAATGGTGTTTGCAACTTATTTTTTGGTGATGGAAAAATTTCCTGTGCTATATATTATTTTTGAAGTGTTACAGTCATTTCTCTTTTAAACTGCACATGCCAAATTATTGACTAATCCAGAATTGCATGACCAAATTGATCTACATTAATGTAACTTCTGTGTAGTTTGCTTCATTATATTGTTTTCCTATTTATAATGCATCATGATGCTTTTGTTGCTTTAATTGTTGTTGAGTAGTATAAATTTCAATAATATCACTACTATTATTTTTAGATGTACATTTTAAAAATAGTCTTCTATTCATTCAGACACAGGCTTAATAGTGTTGACATTCTTATTCTTACACAGGAACATGAATGCAAACTCACTTTTTAATGTAAATATTATAATCACTATTGAGACATTTTTTACTTTGCCTTTCAAGATTGTTGAAACCTGAAGATTAATTTTTGAACATAAAAAATATTTCTTAGATAATATAAATTTTTTAAATACTCTTTTTTCGGATTTTGAGATTTATTAGATACAGTAGACGCTCACTGCTCAGGCACTATATGGGACCAGATAAAAAGATCAGGGAAAATAATTACTTCAATGTTTTGTGTTTGCAACAATATTTAGAACACATAAAATTAAAATTTGTTTGCAGGAAGATGTTTCTTATATAATGTGCAATCTGTCTAAAAAGCTACTTCAAATAAAACCTACACCCAGCATTATACACATTTTGTCGGTTTAAAAAGATATTAAAATCAATGTATATTACTATTTGTGTTGTTTTTTTTGTTTTTTTATATACTTTATCTGTAGTTTTGTGTATATAGTCTTGTCTCTAATATTTACAGAATTTTTTTCTAAATTTTACATTCTAGTTTTAGAGTAGACCCAATGTTCATGCTAAGTATTTACAATCAAAGTAGTTTATTGTAATTTAATTAAGAATACATGTTGGTGAAGTTTTCCTTAATAGATTTTGCATTAATAGATTTAAGTATTGATTTGTCTACAATACCCTGGTAAATTTAATGCTAACTCTATCTATAATAGTCTTGTTGTATCACCTCAAACCATAATTTTTAAACAAGTGTTTAAATTAACCTACCGTATCGGTTAGTATTTTGGTAAAAAAAAAATTTATTCTCAGAAAATCAAACTTTTTATGCGTTTCAACCATTCTTATTGGTCCTGTTAGTGACGGATTAGTGAGTTTCTACTGTACGTACACTTTGATATATACATAGACTAAATGAACAAATCATATTTCCATCACTATCACCCATTTACTAAGTAGCCAGTATGGTCATGCAGGAACGCGTCGTCAGGATCGGGTCTGAGTGAGACGGGGTCGCTGGACAGAGGCAAGGCGGCGCTGGAGAGGCGAAAGAAGGCGGCAGAGGAAGGCTCTGGTGGGGGCGGTCGTGTGGAGGCGTCTAGAGTCAACCCGGACCCTCTCATAGACCAGCTGATCCAGGAGACAAACCTGGAACCTTCCGAGACTGAGAGTAAGTCAACAAATTGAACATCAATAGACTCTTTAGTGAAAAATTCTTGTTTTACATTTTGTTCCTTAGTTTATATTCTTGGATGATAAACATTAATAATCTTATTTTTGAAAAGGTTTATTTTGATTACTATTACCCTATTACCTCTTGACTATTGAGAAAAAAGTACACATCCCATCCCAACGTTAAAGTTGTAGCCACTGTAGAATGGAATTAGCACTAAGGAGTTGAGTCACCGACACAGTGTGTTTGCAATCCTACATGTCTGTCAATTATGCAAACTTTTCCCTAAGCCAAACTGAAATAGCATCATATTTCATAATATGCTCTTCTATTGACTATCATAATATCTAAGGAAGAAAATATAGTATATTTCATCACTAAGGTCTAAAAAGAATTTTTAACACCACAAGCCAAAGTTAAACGAAATTGAAAAACTTATCATAGACTTTAGCTACTCTGACCTCCCCCTTTAGCTCTGACTCTGCCTTTTGCCCCACTAATACCTGTTTTATGCCTATATAGGATTTCGCTCTTTCAACCCTAATTCTGTATCCATCCCTCATCTCATTCTTGTCCTTAGTTCTTCTTGCCCTTTTCTTTTGTTTATCTCATTTAACTCTCACAATAATACTTTTGCTCTTCTCATTTGTGTCTTAAGTTTCTCACTTTTTTGTTTCTGGATTATTGCCATTTTATTTTTTGTTCTTTCCCCCTTTTTCTGTTTCCTGTCCATGACTTTTAATATCATTTAATATCATCACGGTACCATGTACTGTATTTAATTTAGTTTTACTCGTCTATTTTTCTAATATTCAACATATTCTGTTCCAGTGTCAGGTCTCCAACTATACATTGCCAAAGATGGGACGACGGCGTTAGGCAGCCACGAAGTCAAATCACTGGGCGTGTTCAAACAAGTCGTGATGGACGATAGGTAACATTAGCCTCGCCACGTCACCCGAGTTACCATCTCGTCTATCTACTATTTTTGTATAAATATATATATATATTGGTACATATTGTAAAAAGCTTAGTGAACATTGAAATTGACAGGCTTAGAATTGTATGTTTGTTACAGGAATAAAATACTCTGTTTATTTTGCGGACATTTTATAATTTGTTAAACTATCTTTGAATAAGTAAAGAAAAGGTTTTAGTTTTTGATTGTTTAGAAAGTTAATAAGGAAAATTACTGTGATTTTTCATTAGTTGGAGGATAGTTGAGTGTGATATTAATTTTTTGTTTATTTATGTAAGTTGTCTCAATTTGTATACTTTCAGATAATCAAGGCGTGTTGCATTTTAATTTAATTTTGGAAGCTTAATTAAGTTAACAAGAATTTGTAACAGTTCTTAAACAGTTCATTAGATTTTGTGTAATAAACTCACATTTATATGAGGAACTATGTACTACTTACTATACTTTAACTATTGTCTCTTTGTGCAAACAAAATTCTTTTGTAATTAAAGCAAAATAATAATCCCGTAGTAAAAAAATTAATAACACAAATTTATAATATGTATCAAATTTTAGATTAAATAAACATTTTTTACTTTTGTTTCAAAAGAGATGAATTTTTATAAACAGTTTTTTTACGAATACTTTTTAATATCACACTCAAATTACTCGTAAATAGTGGTAGGTTTATGACTGATTAAAAAGCTCATTTAAACACACTAGAGAGGTGATAGACGATTATAGTTTAGTACAAAAGAGCAGAAGTGCCTCATTTTAGTACACAAACAATGAGCGATGATGGGGTTTGTACAACTTTGAACTCAAATTCCAAAATAGATTTCCAACTTAGAAACTATTTACTCTTGTATTAAAACTATCCAGGTTTTTTTGAAAAATCCTTAGATCAACAATCTTAGTGTCCATCTAAAAGGTCAACCTCCACTAATCTAAACATTTAAAGTATGACAATATTTATTAGGCTTAGTAAAGTTGTTTGTGGTTTATTCTATTGATAAATTAGTCACTCAACTGAAGAATGATTATACAAAATGTCTTGTTTTCTAACTTTTCCATCACAATCAGCGACACAATAAACAAATATGGGATGAGAATACAATTGTGGATATTCTCCATTAATTCACCACCCCAATGAACTTATACAACAAAGAATTCACTTATCTAAAATGAACCTAACCTATTAGTTGTTTCAGTACTTGTAACTTGTTTCTAAACAAGCCATGAAAGAGTTATACTCACTTTTTTATACTCTACAAATTGTATAAAAAAAATGCCTTTAAACATAATTATTTAAACTTGTTTTGTTGCTGATAAATAGATAATCCTTGTGGTTATGTTAGGTTGGTTTATTTATATTAGTAAACTAACCTTACCTGAATTCCATTAAATATTTGATGAAAATCACTCGCTCCACGCCATTTGTAATGTTTTCCATGTGATATTGCTCACAATTAATTTAGACATCCTCGAAATGGTGGTGAAGTAATGGAAAATATCGCCGGTTATTTGTAACTAGTCACCTATCCAAGTAGACATATATGATAGCTTTACCTCTGTGCTTGTGTTTAGGCAGTACTGCTATATAGTGATGGAAGAGCGTTTGAACAGTGCTAAGTTCGTCCACACATCAAGTTGAGGTAAAGCATGGTGTGAACCTTCTCATTGGTTTGTATTCAACTAATTCATGCCGATCTTTGTGATATGTAATTAATTTGTCGGTTTTACGATTCATTTTCATGTAACCTCACCTTGGACGAAAGAGCTTTCATGGTTTTATAAAATTATTGTGTTCAACTTTCTTCCTACAATCGAAATCTATGCTGCGAAATTGTCTTCCTTTTAATCTTCCTTTATTTACCTTTTTTTATTAATCTACCCTTTTATCTCTCTACCTCTCATGTATTTTGATGATGATAATAAATTACATTGTTTTTGTAATGGTTTTGCTTCCTAATGAGCAATGTGTGATATTAATTTGGTTTTGACTGTTTTGAGGAACTATTTTTAATAACAAATATTTTCACTTACCACTTTTGTATTTGGTCGGTCTATAGCTAATAATTTTAATGTTATAATATTTGTATTTGGGTACTTAACTAAATCATGTTTCAAGTTTATCTTTTTAAGTAGGGTTCTACAAAAAAGCCAATCTGTTATATTATTTGTACACATTATCCGATGGCAACTTTGTAAAGATGTAAATATCTGATAGAATGTAATTCCAATGCTCTTTAGAGCTGATTGAATTCTTCAAGCTTCTATTTAACATGTATGCTGCACTCTAACCCTACTCTATAAACTTTATTGATTATCATTGTTTCCCAGAATTGGGAAGTTATACTGTTTAATACTAAGAAAGTGGCTATTAATAATTTTCTACATTTTTTAACTGTCTGTGTAGTAATGATTTTTTTCATCACTCTGTATTCAAAAATAGCCCATTTCCATACATCTGAGATCCTCGAAAATTGTCAATTTCCATACACCAAAAACAAATAGTGATCTGCTGACTTTTCTTGACATAAACATTACTTTTGCTACACAAACAATACTTTGCCCGACATCAACAAAGTTACAACTGAAGATCAGATAATTTTTTTTAAGTTTGATGAATTAGTTTTCATTGTGATAAAAAGTATCGTTCATAGTCACGAAAGTCCCATTTCGTGGTGAGATAGTGTTTTACATGCAAGTCAAAAACTAGTAGTAAAATATACTATTTCGAGCAAGGGAAGAACGATCAGCTGATTTTCTCTTGCTCTGAGTTTAAGAACTTTTTTCCCCCTCTTTAGGGTTCTTTTGAACATAGATGACATTGAAAATAACTGTTAGAAATATAAACACTGTCTACCATTGTATAATACTGTTAAATGAAATGGTTCTATGAAATGGCGACCATAACAGCATAGCAGAGGTAGAATAGAGCCTCAAATTAAATTAGTTACTGGCTTACTGTACCTAAAAGATAAACTTAAAACCTCTTTATTTTGTTAATATTATTATGACTTAATGTTTTGTGCTTTAAAAATGATATGGGAAGTTAACAAATTTATATCACCATATTATCTTAAATAGTGCACTTTAAGATAATTGAAATTGTGAGCAATCAAGAGAGTATGGCTTAAATTTTACCATTGTGAAAAAGAAAATATATAACACGTAAGGTACTTGATCAGATAGTAATATAGCTTTTGTTACTGAATTTGTAAGAAATATTTAACATAAGAATGCTTATTTCATTGTATCAGATATACAGTTTAACTAAAATGTGTAGCAGTTT